GCAGGGGTGTCAGGGTCCTGTATCATTAGTTCAGGGTACCATATAATGATATTCCATCAATCTAACAAGTAAAACAATGAAGTTTAGTTAAGTGTTTGGAATTACCCCCATGCTAGTGTTCGGAATTACCTCCTAAAAAATCTCCTGTTTGGATTTACCCCCCTAAAATTCACATTCTCAAAATTCATTTCGTCCGTTGCCTACCTTCACTACCTCTCTGACGATGTTAAAATAGTTCCAAAATTCCCGGGGCACGATCTGAGAAAGCTTCAGAAATTTAAATTAGTACTTTCTTTATTACAAAATCAACAATGCCAAAACTTTGATATTCCATAAATCATAACGTTTACAAACAATTTTACCATCGAAATTGGTAATCAATGTTGTATTTGATGTGTTTTTAGGTAAAAATCTCAGCGGAGCAACAAATTGTAAAATATCAAGATCGATAATCACTGTGTTCAACATTACTACACGATTTCAAGATGGCGGTGTCAAAATTTTCAAAAAACGCTTCAAATAATATTATGTTAATTTCTGGCGAGTTCACCAATATCATAACTTGTTATCTAACAACAAGATAAGGAAATATGTAAGAAACTCAATTTTATTGATTAAAACATCACATCGACATGTGGTATTCGTTTATTAGACATTGAAAATTATGAATATGGGGATGACGTCATTTCAAAACGAACTGCATAGCAACGGTGTTCTGATCGGAAGTCCTTGCAAATTCTTAAGTATTCACTTTTAACTGTTTGTTACGAATTACTTAATATTTTTTTTACGAATGGATTCTTACTACATTAGAAATAAATATCTTATAAAATATAACGAATAAAATCAGTAGCAAACGCAAAAAAAAGATTTTTTTGAAGGAGGTCAAAATATTTAGAAGGGTAAATTTCGCAGGAATTAAACAACTGCATGTCTAACCCAGATTTTTTGACAATTTTATCGGAATTTTTTTCTGCAAATGCATTTTACAGCGTCTAATTCACATAACATTTATAAAATTATTCTACAGATGTGCAGTACAGCCACCCTAACTACATTTGATGGGGGTGTTTGGAAACAGACGTAATCACGCAGTACAAACTTCGCCCAATTAATTTGAATTTTTGACCTACCGGATGTTTGAAAATCAAGGATTACGAGTCTCATACTGCACCGTTTTTCTTCAAACTTGTTCCATTCAAAGCATCACAAAAATCCCTTTCTGATGGCACATTATTCTCTTAAACAGAGTCCCTACTTCCAACAGCATTTTGGTCCCCAGCTGTAAGAAGGCCTTCTAACAGCTGGGGACCAAAACGCTGCTTGAACGAGGGACTCTTTACAATAAAGTAATGCACCGACAGAAAGGCAATTTTGTTTTGCTTTTATGGTATAAGTTTGACGAAAAACGGTGCAGTATGAGACTCGCAATCCTTGATTTTCAAGCATCTGGTAGGTCAAAAATTCAAATTAACGGTCGAAGTTTGTACCGCGTGGTAATGACTCTATAGTCTACTACTTTTTTCAAGGCCTGACTGCGTCGCTAACATGCTAAATATAAGAGTTAGCTGACGTTTGGGAGTCTGACTTACCTTCTAAAGGTTAGAACCCGAATCTTAATGAAACCATATCACCTTTGTTGCGTCGATGATGATGCATAAACATAGCATTTGATAGAAATTAGCGTAAATGCTTTTCCGACTTTTTCATTTTTCATCAATGTTGACCTCCGGGAAGGCGTTGTAGTTATCACGAAATAACGCATTGACCCTTGAACTTTACTTTGTTGACGTGTCAACCAAGCATGTCTGGTGTGAAAATTAAAAGAATATTAAGCAATGTTCTACATCCGCCAAGCTAAGTGAAGTAGTCAATATTTAAAATTACCAATTTCAAGTGAAGTACGCAACGAACGAAACTGCGTGATCTACACTCCCACTATTGGTCTGAATGAAATGCTACGTAGAAATATGAGCCGTCTGCTGTATTAGTCGATTAATAGAGTAAGACCTGTTGGTGATGCTTTATAATTTAGACCAAAACATTGAAGAACAAACGAACCTGTAAATCGTGAAAACAACGAACAAATATTCGGTTTTCACATATATTCGGTAATTTTTCGTATAGAAACTTCCGGAACTTACAAGGAAATCATTCATTTTCTCGATCCATGATTTACCTCTTGGATGTTGTGGCAAATGCTCCATGGTTGACGGAACAAAGGTGATATGGTTTCATTAAGATTCGGGTTCTAACCTTTAGAAGGTAAGTCAGACTCCCAAACGTCAGCTAACTTTTATATTTAGCATGTTAGCGACGCAGTCAGGCCTTGAAAAAAGTAGTAGTCCCTGCAAAAATTTGTTGTGGGCGATATTAGAGTGAAATTAAGTTTCTTTCTCAAAATTTGCTTGAATCGGATATTGATCTTTAAATAATAGATTCCCTTCTTGTGCTTGTTAAGCCATCATTACAGAACATGAAAGAAAAATACCACATTTGAATGAAATAGAAGAAAGTATACCTGTTTTAGTGAGAGACGCCTCCTAAAAAAATCTTTCGAGAGCTTTCGAGAATTTACACGAGATTCAACGAGACTTCCGACGTCTTTGTTTGGTGAGTCCTATATTTCATCGTTTTCTTGTGTATTAAGAGGCAGTAAAACATTATTTGATCATTTAGGCTGTAAATGTATATGCAATATATTATATGCCAAAAGCGAACTATTTAATTTGCTCCTCTGTGGTTTATACGCTTGATTTTATAAACACTTCACTTATTATCGCCCATAAAATTGATATTTTAATCAGGCAGTAACTTTAAGGTAGAACTCTCCTTACTCTTTGTACCATTGAGGTGCATGTTAAATTGACAAAGTTCAAATTAGAATTTCTCGAATCGCAGCCCATTGATTTTAAAAGAATTTCAGGGAAAAACAACAAAACATCTCACCTTCACGTCAAAAAATGTCAACAAAAGTATCCCACGAAAATCAACAGTTCTGTTCTCTTACATAGTTGGAGTGCCAAAACAACATCATATTTATGTACATTGAGCAATTCACCACTACCAAGCTTATCCATCCACAGAAAATAATCCCAAATATTTTACTGTTCACTGTTCTGATCACGATGTTTCCCATGCAGTTGTTCTGTGCATTATATGTCTGCAAATTAGAGTATTCTATCCAAATATGGTGCTGTAGTATATCATTGAAGTCCCCAAACAGGTTATTAAAGCTGGACTTCGTTCCGAAATGCAATCTTGGGTTGTTTCCGGGGTGAACTTTATCATTTTGAGCTTAATGAAAGATTATAGAATGATGAACAAATGGGGCAAATCTTGTGTAGAAATACTTACGATAAATGTGTCATTTCAAAGATTTTTCATTGAATTTGCTTCGATCGGAGCCGGCGATATGATTTTGGAAAGGTTTCTAAATGAAGAACGTGACGTCACTTCCGAATCATAGCATTCAAAATAAGTAGCGTTTAGATACCTCTACTATTCATAAAAACACGGTGGTGTATCGGTAGAATCCTCGCTTAGCACGCGGGAGGCCCGGGTTCGAATCCCGCATTCGCGTTTTTATTTTTTTAACTAAATGATTGTTCTTTGATATTACGCAGAAAAAACAATTTTTATTTACATAAACTTTATATTAGAGCTTGAAAATGTAAAAACAATATATGTCAACATATTGCGTTTTGGAGCGATGTGCAGGTTTAATAGAACTACTTTCCTCATACCATGAGATAAACAAACCGAGTAAGGATAGTACACTCTAAATATGAGTTTATGGCAAAAATTTACTTATGGATGGGATAGTTATCAGAAATTTACACTAAACAGGAAATGAAAAAAACATGTGGATTTTTGGATCCAGAAATCATTTGAAAGAAATATGTTCCGAGAAATGAACATATAAGCCTACTTTTTAAAATGTAATGTATTTTCGCAGAAGAACATGTCAGCAGTAGATCTATCGGACTTAAAATTTTAAAAATGAACCCATCTCTTAAAACAAAAAAATGTTGCATCAAATGTTGCATCAAACAACAGAGAAATTGAATGTTTTATTAGGTAAGTATTCATAAACAAGCACAGGTTAATAATAAGTGATTTGTAATGATTTTAGGATATTGTGCTCTGAAATTGCTCAGAATGCACCAAATGATGTTCAATTTTCTAAATTTTCTATGTAGTATCAATATTAATCTGATAAATCGTATAAACATCGATTTAGTTTTAATCAACAAGAACTATTTATAGTCCTTGAAAATGCTCAGATTGCACCAAATAACATGTTCGAAAAAACATTTCCTGGGGGAGCATGTCCCCGGACCTCCCAAGACACCCTTATTTCCAGCGCCACCTATATTTTCTTGAAAACACACCACCCTTTTCTATCATGATCCGACACCCCTGCACAATATGTTGCTTTAAATGATGGGAGCTTTGGAAATTAGAAAAATTGTTTGAAACAAAAAATGTGGTCATAAAAAAGAAAAAAGATTTCAAATCAGTTTTTTCATTTTTTCTCTATTTCTAGAAATGAATTCAAATACAACTGACTATAGATCAAAGCAGAACTCTGTTATCTGAGTGTTTTACTCCATTGATTTATTTCTTAAATATTGACATCGATCAATTTCTTAACTTGCAGTCTAGATAGAATATTGAATATCTCTCAATCTCAAGAGTTGTTGATGGTGCTATATAAGTACACTCGCTTCACACACTGAACAATTTAAACAAGAAAATTCACAAAGCAGGGGTGTTAGCCAGCAAATGTTAAGGGGGATGCGAATTTTTACATTGTATATGGGGCCTTCTAAGCATTTCAAACTTTAATTTTGTTAAATTTTACAAAATTGCTTCTTTCTTTTTTTTCTTCTTTTGTTAGGGTGGGGGGAGGGGCCATGCCCATGAAATCATTATTTAAAAAGGCATTCCAAAATTAGAAGCTTGTTGCATCCATTATTTTCTTTGATTGTAGAAAAATGTCTCTCCCAAACTACAGGAGCTCGCAGTCACCTGCTAGTCGTAAGTGTTGTTTGCATCTTTCTTTGTTTGTCATTGGCATGTTCAAGAACTTTCAGCTGTTTCATCCCACATTTTATATTACAAAGAAGAATCAGAAGAACTTCTTAAAACAGTTTTGAACAATAAAAGCTTCATCAAAATATTTATGGTTGGAAAAGTTGATTGATAACAGAGAAATATCATAATACTCAATCTGTATTATAATCGATAATCTTCAATTTAAATGTATCAACTTCAGAGAGATATGGCGGGAGAGGAGACAAAAGCTCACAAGATAAGACACCAAATCCCTTCATCCCAATGCAACATGGAAATCCAAACTTCAACCCAATCAAACTGGGAACAAAGACGGTAAGTGAATAATATGTCATGTAGAAAACATCCAAGCCCACAACCAGCTTTTGCCAAGGGGGTTCACTTTTCAAAAAGTTCCAGGGGTTCACATTTGACAACTGATCCATATCACTTAAAAAGTGCTCAGGATGGTGAAAAATTGCATGATTTTGAAAGAAGGCCAGGGGGATTCACTCAAGCCCCCTAATCTCCCCTCCTCCTAGCTATGAGCCTGACATCTCTGGGCCTCACATCAAGTCCTTCCCAATGTGTAATCCCATCTTGATGTTCCGAGTAACTTCACTAAAGATATTACCAATATAGATAAGATTTACCAAGAGGGGAGTTTTTGCTAAGGGGGAGCTTTTTGACAGTTTTGGCAACATATCATTCCAAAAGTTCTCAGAATGGTGAAAACTGCATGATTTTGAAAGAATTTCTGGCTGGGGGGGGGGGGGGGGCAGCAGCCACTCCCTCCGCTCCCCCTAGCTATGGGCCTGAGTTCTATATGCTATCACATATTATACATTAACACATCCAAAAGTTTAACAAGACAGTCCCAACCAAGCAGACTTCTTTGCTTAAGCCGATCAGTTGTCGATTATATAAGAAGAGTTAATCATCACCATTGGTAATTTAGCAGCTGTGAGTATCAAACAAGATTGCAATGATTGCGATTCTTGTAAGCTGCACTTTGAGATCATTCAATTAAAAAATTGGTAGGATAAAAATCTTATTCCTAAAATCACTGTAAATATATTTTGAACCATATTGAACTTTATAGGGTGATAACAGAATTCCAAAACCTCCTAAACAACCCGAGAGGCCCCTTATGCCCTACATGAGATACAGTAGAAAGGTAAGACCCCTTGTGTAATTTATAGATACACAAGAATTTTCTGTAAAATAACTGATGTCCTCATTTAAAAGCATTATCATTATCCTTTGCAGCATGTTTATAATATATTAATATAATAGGTAGACTGTCATACAAACTATTAACTCAAGTTTTCATTTCTCTTAGGCCGATTATTTTCACAAATATTTTATTGTAGCCTGGATGATCCAAAAATAAACTTATTAATAACAAAGAATTTTCCAAAAATGAAATTCTAGTCCATGTATCACCACGAAGGTTGCATGCACAACAACTGAATCCAAATACCTTATATTGCAAAATAGTGCAAATTTACAAAAATAAGGGGAGGAAAATATTCATTTGACACATGTATTCATGCAGGTTTGGGATTCTGTGAAGACAACTCATCCCGAGATGAAGCTTTGGGAAATAGGCAAAGTTATAGGGCAGATGTGGCGTGAACTCACGGATGAAGAGAAGCAAGAATATTCTGATGAATATGAGGCTGAAAAGGTATGCAGAACTTATATTTTGGGATTTACTTGATTTTGTCAGGGGGTAAGATTCAAGGGGCATGATTTGAGAGGGGCTTTGATATTGTTTTGATTTCAGGGAATTTTAGTCCATGTAATTAGGTCTTTGTTCATTGATGTTATTTGCTATAAATAATTCAGGTTGGTTATCAAATCAAAATCTTGTGGTTGATATTAACACCACATCTTTATTAAAAACAGCTCTGATGAATCGCCTGTCTACATGATCAAAATTGGTTCAGGTTAGTCTTATTATTTCTTATTATTCTTAAAGATGTTCAAGAGTTTTCGATATGATATCATATTTTCCATTTTAATTATTTTTTGCATGAAATATTCAAAATTAAAATGATGCCCAGAATAATGATTAATGAAGCATACCTGTTCCTTGGAATTTGCTTTTCTATTGAGTTGACATATTCTAGTTTTATAGCTCATGATTGTTATGTTACCACTGGGAATTTTGTTATAACCATTGTTTTTAGTGATGGCACCAGCTGGATGGCACCCAGCATTGTCCGGTTGATAACTCAGGTTGATGGATTTAGTTCAAATTTTACAGGTTGATGGCTTATTGGCATAGAACCTTAATGCTCAAGAATGAATCTCTATATGCTAATGCCCTAGGATATAGGACCTCTGTTCTAGAAGTAGTTTTCAAGATGACTGCAAATTCAAAAATTAACTACATTTTCTTTAAAAAACATGATTTTTGATTACTTAAATATCACTTGATGGATTTGGCCCAAATTTTATAGACAAATGTCTAATGGGAATAGGATCCCAAGAATTTTCAGTATGACTGCTCAATTCAAAATGGCCACTGCTTTTTTATAAAAAAAATAGTTTTTGATAACTCAAGTACCAGTCGACAGATTTGGTTCAGATTGTATCTGGTGATACTTTATATTTTTTAGAAGAAACATAATATCTGCCACAATGCCTTATGGGCAAAGAACCTCTACTCAAGAAGAAATTTCTAATTTGGTATCATACCATGCCATTTTGCCAAAATGAGATAATACTACTTCCTAGTTATGTCTTTCATGACGTTATGGTCAAAATGATGGGTGATTCGATAAAATATGTTTTGTTTACTGGGATTTGCTAGTCTTGGGGTTTTTTGCTTTTCTAGTTATTATTGATTGTGATTATACTGTCTCACAAAACATCAAAAATGTTATATGAAATAGTTCTGAGCATGTAAGGAGGTATAATTATCACATCATTTAGTGTCATATTTATTTCATGTAACTGCCAAAACGATTTCACAGTTGTTAAAACAAAGTTATCAATTGTTACAGTATAGCTGCATAGCTGCATGTACAGTGCATAATAAGTAATATGTGTATTGTACCTGTAAATGAAGACTTCTGTTATGCAACATACTGATGATTGAAGAACAGTAAATGTTTTTCTGTTTTAAGTAGAAACAGGTTGAGAGAAAGCATAGAAAACAGATCTGAACACAACATGTTATTTAAACATATTTAATCTTCATAGAAATATCAATTTGTTTTGCACATTAAATGAAGAGATGATATCATAACTAAGACTACAACATTAACGCAGCGTTGTGGTTTTGCAATAGAATACAATATGACATATGTCAAAACATTGGGACTTTCTTTTTTATTCTAGATTCAGTACCAAGAGACGATGAAACAGTATCACAATTCACCAGCCTTCCAGGCATACTTGGCAGCCAAAGGAAAAGGTATGGACTGTTCAGTATATTTCTTTTAGTCTATACTTTTGAAGCATTTTTACAAATGTTCTTTAAATTGCTTGAAATCAGTTATTTTTTAGGTGGCAATAATGAAAATGACAACTGGATTTTATGATCCATAGTTCAAAATATTTTCTAGAAATTGACTCATGATAATCATTTTGTGAAGAAATTTTCATGCAGTTGTAAAATTTTATTTTCTCTTTTTAGCCGAGGCAGTTATAGAAGAGGAGGAAAAGGACAGCAAAAAAACTGTGAGTTACGAATACGATTTGATAATAATTTAATAACTGTTATTGTTCTATTCTTTCAGCTTGTATCATGTTAGTGCCATTGATCAATGACCTTAATTTGAAATTCATGAAAAATAAAAATGTAACACTTAGTTAATTAGGATTTTCTTTCATGGATTTTCTAAAGCAATCTAAATATTCTACATTGCCTATTGATTCTACTTTCTGTCATTTTTTTTCTTATTAGGAGAAAGAAAAAAAATCGGTGAGTTCCTTAAATATTTTCTTAGGAGTTATGCATGAATCTGTCATCCACATAGTGCATGCTTATGTGGAGTCATTGATCAGTGACCATCAATGCTAGGAAAATAAATTCAAGCTTCAGTGAAATCTTTCTAAAGTGAACATTGCTGGGACTAACTCTGTATGCATGTTGAGTGGTCACCTAAAAGGGGTCTGCTAACATGGGAGTCAATGGAAATCATTAAAAATGAAACTGAAAATAATTTTCAAAATTCGACAGGTTAAGGTACATGTGGAAAAAACATTTTCGAAAAATTGCTATACCTGCACATGTTATTTTCTTGTACTAAATAAACTATGAAGGCATACATGTACTTCCTTGCTTTCTTTAGGAAAGTATCCTTGCATTTTCTTCTTATAGTAAACCTGGTAAGAGGCCAGTGCCAACTGCAGGAAATGCTGATATATTAAGAAAATTAATTCAAAATGCCTTTTCAATTTTCTTCTCCAATTTTCTCGATAACACTGAATTGTCATTGACTGCTTACCAGGTTTCTTAAAAGAAGACAATGTATTAATTCTTTCCTGAAAGCAAGGAAATACATTCAGGTTTTCATACTTTATCTTGTACCAGAAAATAACATCGGCAGGTATAGCAATCACCTTAATTTCAGGAAGGTGACCACATGTACACAAATCTTTTGAATATTTAAAAAAAGTCATGCATGTAGAACTTGATCATAACATTAACACAGTGAAGAACCTGTGTAAGTGGAACTTGTCCCCTCAACCCCTCGTCCCCTGGTTCAAGTAAAAGGTGTTCCACTTAAGAGGTTCTATTTACATTAAGTCCAAGGGTAAAATGACTGTGAAATACTTCCTCTTCCTCTTGACAGGTTTAACTATTGACAATACATTTATATTTAACAAACCTAGTCTCCATGCATTCTTGATTTAACATACCTTTAACAGATAGACTTCTTAATTAAATACTAAAATACTGTTTAAATGGATTGCTGGTAGACGAAGCTGTGATATGTTTCTCATGTTAGGAACATGTTAGTTACCCTTCACATGAGTTGGACTTCTATGCACTCTTAGAAAGAGATAATATTCTGATTTAGTCATTCTCTGCCTTTAAGTAACCTAAAATTAATTTCACATTCAAACTCCCATTAAGGCAATGAAACGTCCATTTGGGATCATCATGATTAAGAAAATCATCTGTAGTAATAAAAAAGTAGTGGAACTATCTGGTGGAATTTCAGGGGATAGTAAAGTAATAATCCTTGTATAGCAGAAAGCTACCTGTACCACTTATTACCAAACAGCCTTTCTAGTTCTACAAACCTGTCAGTTGGTCCTTATTTGTTAATTGACACTACTTGTACCCTGAACACTGAGTCCAAATAGTTGCCCAAGTACCTCTGACAACTTAACAATTTGTATAGCCAACTACAATGGCATACTCTTGACCAGGGTGGATATTTGTTGTAAATATTGCCATGTACTGCACTGACCTCTGTTTCTCAGCTATAGTTTGTAAAATAGGAAAAGAAGGAGAACAGTTGTTTCTAAAACAGTATTGATACATAAAATACCTAACATATAATTCCATTGTACCCGGAAGTACTTATACAATTACAAATGATAATGAAATATTCATTTTATTGTAGAAAAATGAAGCCAGAATTAGTATACAGCCAGCAAATGATGAGGAAGGTGAGAGTTTATTTTATTATAATCACGCTTAAAAAGTGTTATTTTGTTGTTGTCTTGTGTTGAGGGGCGTTTATGTAAGTATCATAGTGTTTGGCACAAGAAATCGTATCAATGTATCAAGAAAAGTGTTCATCAGTTGAGAAACTGACGGTTTGATCATGCCACCACCGATTTTCTTCAATATTTTACACATGTAAGAGGGTTACCAAGTTACCATTAACAGTTCACCAGTTACCATTAAGAGTTCATTAACTTTTGGTGGCTCTTTGGTGATGTCATTTAGTTTCCATTCTTTATTTTGTTATTATTTTTATTAGATCACGATGATGGATTCTCTGTGAAGCACATTGCTGCAGCGCGATATTTACGCAACCACCGACTCATCAATGAGATCTTTAGTGATACAGTAGTGCCTGATGTACGCACCGTTGTTACTAGTAGCCGTATGAGTGTCCTAAAACGTCAAGTGCAATCGCTCACTATGCATCAGGTATGTAAATCATACTTTGTGTAATATAAAGTCAGTTTTAGATAAAGGATTTATACCTCAGGAAATATGTGCAATTTCTGTATATCCCTTGGAATAAGCCCTGTATCTAAAAGTCCCTTGTACATAACATAATGTTTATAGCATTTTTGCTAATTTGGAGAAGCTGGGTTGAGATGGATATTTCTGTTTGCATTTTATGTCATTGCCGCAAGACATATTGTTATAGTCTCCAACTTTTTTGTGGACAGTGTTTGGTGTTCGGTGGTTGGTGGTCTGTATCTGTAACATACCTGCCAACCTACCGTATTTTTACGGGAATCTACCGTAAATTTTTCGTTTTTTCCGTAAAAAAATGACAAACTACCGTAAAAAAATACCATTTTTTTCCCGTAAAAAATTCTACCGTATTTTTTTCGTAATCTACCGTAAATTTTCTTTTTAAAAAACTCGTTTATTCCATGAGAACGGCCGTAAAATCTACCGTAAATTTTTGAAAATCTCCCGTAAATTTTCGAAAATCTACCGTATTTCTGCTAAAATCAACAGTATTTTTGTTCAAACTACCGTAAAATTTCCCGTTATTGTTATTGGGAAATGCTGAAAAATTGAAGTCTTCCTGTACTGTCCCTGTAATATTCCTTCACCAACCCGAATATAAATAGGTATCGGCAGGTCTGTGGTTATCAGGTTATTGCGCATATTTATCTAAGTAAGCTTGCGTGTAATCAGTCCAAACACCAACTACCACTAGCTAAAAGAATTCTTTCTGCCATGATTTTTGTAGTTAACCAAACCCTTTTGTACACAAATCTTTTTTCCGAATGCAACAAAAATATGATTTTAGTTGCGCTTCATCTAAATAAATGAGTGGAAATGTGTATGCATATTTAGCGTATGAAATATGCGTAGTTTGATTTGTTATGAGTCAATGATCGAACGCCACATATACATTATACATAGTTTAATCAATTTGTTAACAGAACGATAAAATGTTGTATTTTTCATCAGAACACATTATCAGTAACAAATACATAATTAAAAAATAAAGCATTGAGTTCTGGTTTATTATAAACGTATTGTGACATCCGAATCTGAACGATGTCTCATGGGAAAGGTTTCAGCAAATGCTCATAACAGATTATTTTTGGAAGACAATTGATCTGTACTTATTTTCTATTTGTGCCAGACAAACACATTGATATCATTAGAGACTTGTGAGTGAACAAATCAATATTTAATACCATATGATTCCAATGTTATATGAACATTATGTCTGTCATTTTAATTCGTTAAAGTGATAGATCATATAAGATGGTGAGTAAAAACATGTAAAATCCATATTTTGTATTTCAATAAATGTTTCATTCATGGTATTTCCAAACATCCTAATATCTAAAAAAACTGGTTAGAAGGTGAATAAAAGTTGAGATATGAATATTGTGTTCGTATTTTGAATCAATCTAGATTTATTGTAAAAGAGTTGTATATGTACATTTTGCTGAAACATTAAAATCCAAAGTTGCTGTCAGTCCATTGTAGGCATGGTAAATGAAGAATAAAAAGTGTTTAGTTTCTATTTATTCTTGAAAATAGTATATCTATTTTTTCTTGAAAATAATAGTTTCGTATAATTCTCAGGTGGTAGTTCTGCTTTACAAACTGTAATTATCAAAAGCACTCTTGCAGTAAAATATGTATTCACAATAACAACAACAATATGACCACGTAAACATTGTATTAATATAGAAAACCGCATTGTATAAAGGTTTAACTACCACATTTTTCGAAAACTACAGAAAAATACCGCATTTTGGCAAATCTTCCGCAAAACTACCAGTTTTTCAAAAAATTACCGTAAAAACTACTGCAATTTTCAAAATCTACCGTAAAACTACCGCATTTTTTCAAAATCTTCCGCAAAAGAACCGGTTTTTTCAAAAAATTTCCGTAAAGACTACCGCAATTTTCAAAATCTACCGTAAAACTACCGCATTTTTTCAAAATTTTCCCCAAAACTACCGGTTTTTCAAAAAAACTACCGTACAAACTACCGTATTTTTCAAAATCTTCCGTAAAACTACCACATTTTTTCAGAATCTTTCGCAAAACTACCGGTTTTTCAAAAAACTGCTGCATTTTTAAAAATCTGCCGTAAAACTACCTCATTTTTTCTAAATCTTCCGCAAAACTACCGCTTTTTTCAAATTTCTACCGCAAAATTACACTTTTTTCAAAAATCTACCCCAAACCTCTGAAACTACAGTATTTTTTAAAAATCTACCGCAAAAACTACAGTATTTTTTAAATCTACCGCAAAAACTACAGTTTTTTATAAAATCTACCGCAAAAACTACCGCAATTTTGTTAAAAAGTACCGTAAAAACTACCGTATTTTGAAAAAATCTACCGCAAAAAATACAGCAATTTAAAAAAAATCTACCGCAAAATTTTGGTCTTAGGTTGGCAGGTATGTGTAACAAAGGGTACTTTGAAGTTTAGTACTATGACCACTTAATTTACTCAAAGGGGATTTCTATTGAGCATTGGCCAACTTTTAAAGTGATGGTTACAAAAAAGGTTAAATGTTTTATACTTTTGATGAATAAATTGTAATGTTTGAATGAGGCAAGAAGAGCAACATCTGAAATATTTAAATGTGCAAGGTGGTTAAAAAAGTCAAGTATTTTTAACATATGTCAAAAGTTTATTTCTCTAATACAATATACCAAATTTTTACTGAGCATAGACCATTCAAATATGCATTTACCGTAAACTTATATATGCAACCTATCATGCTAAAGGGTCAAACAAGCAAACATTTGAGCCCTCTTTTGAATTAAAAGTTCAAGCTCGGGTCCCTATTTGAAAAAAATAATTCTATCAATTTCCTTTTTGTTGTTTTATTCATTAATACATAAGATATGATTATGCTGTGTTATGCAAGCTGTCTATTACATGTATATGTTAAGTAGGAGTATACTATTTATTATATATAATAGATCTTGGACATGTCTGTAAGTGTTACCATTGAAATAATTTTACTCTACATACATGTATATGGGAGGTAGGAGTATACAATATCTTGTAGATCTTGGACATGTCTGTAAGTGTTACCTTTGAAATAATTCTAGTCTACATACATGTATATGGGAGGTAGGAGTATACAATATCTTGTAGATCTTGGACATGTCTGTAAGTGTTACCATTGAAATAATTCTACTTTACATACATGTATATGGGAGGTAGGAGTATACAATATCTTGCAGATCTTGGACATGTCTGAAAGTGTTACCATTGAAATAATTCTACTTTACATACATGTATATGGGAGGTAGGAGTATACAATATCTTGTAGATCTTGGACATGTCTGTAAGTGTTACCATTGAAATAATTCTACTCTACATACATGTATATGGGAGGTAGGAGTATACAATATCTTGCAGATGTGGGACATGTCTGTAAGTGTTACCATTGAAATAATTCTACTCTACATACATGTATATGGGAGGTAGGAGTATACAATATCTTGTAGATCTTGGACATCTCTGTAAATGTTACCATTGAAATTCTACTTTACATACATGTATATATGAGGTAGGAGTATGCATATATTATATATAGTATATGTGGGACACCTTTGTATTATAACCATTGAAATGATTTTAGTTGAACCCTTATAGAGGAACAACTCCTAAGATGGATGCTTAGTGGAACAGGGGTGTTCCGTTTACTTAGGTTTTATTGTAGCACAGTGATTTTCTTGTTCATTTCTCATTTAGAATTAGTACTATAAGTCTCGTGCAATAGGGTAGTAATAGTAGTACTTGATATATAGACAGTATCACATCTGTGCACTATCGAATACACTTAGAAGACCTGTGCCCATTTTTATGTACTGAAGTGTCAAAGGTTACTGGGTACTATTCAACTTTAATCTTCTCTTTCCTAAGTAACTTCAGTAAATAACGACATATCAACAGAGTTATAACCAACCATATGGTTATAATAGAAATAACAAATGCTGCTATATCAAGTAAGAAATATTGAAAAAAATTCAAGTCATACATAGCCTGCGACGTCAAATGTTTCGCCCCTTTGTGTCTTATAACATATTTCACCCAGTACAGAAATTTGTCTCTGGGAGGGATTGGAACATCTCGCACAAGCTGTGACATTTTCTTGGCATTTTCCTTGTATGTGGCCTGGTTATGAAGTACAGTTTTCATGGCAGTGACGACACTCTTTGTGTCTAGATCTTGAAAAGAGAGGCGTTTTCCAATCTTTGCTCGCTCGCATAACAATCGACAGTGGATATGATGATCAAAGAAAATCGGCAAGCCTACAATTGGGACACCTTGGTGTATTGTTTCCTTCGATGCCGAACCTCCACAGTGGGTAACAAATAGTTTTGTTTTTGGGTGAGCTAGAAGTTCTTGCTGTGGTATCCATTTTAGTAACTTTGTGTTTTGGCCAAGATTAGAAGGTGGTTCTCCAACAAAACTCCACAAAACTGTCTGGTTCATTTCAGCAAATGCAGCGGCGAGAATTTCATTCTTTTCAGGCCCGAGGGATCGAAATAATGTTCCAAAGGATACTATTATGAGACCATTGTCTTTGGATTCTGTGATAATGTCGAGTAGTTCTTTACTGAGTGGTTGAAAATTGCTCTCCTCCATTGCAAATCCTTGTATGTCTATAACATTAGGAAAGTATGGCCTTGGGTGAAAGAAAGCATTGTTCCCATTAACGAATATTAATGAGATATTTCTTATGTAATCCAGAATTGGAAGCTTTGTAGGTATCCGCTTGTTGTCCAGTGCAATTTGTTCAGCTTTGTCAATGAAGTCAGCAACTAAATGTTCATAAGTATATGCTTCATAAACATTTTGCAATCGTTCAAAAAAGGTCATTGAATCAGAATAATCCGAGAAATGAAGCGGCATGTATGCTAGGTTATGTGGAGGGAGTACAGCCGGCATGGAAAATGGCCCCCAGTTTATATACAAGGCAACAGGAATATGATACACTCTGTGAAGAAATTGTCCTATCAAAAGATACAGAATGTCATCGGCAAGAATCAAATCAAAGTCACCTTTGTCAACTAAATCCCACAGCTCATCACTTTTCATAAAAGCCTCTACCTCATCTAGAACACCAACAGATGCAGCCACCAATGCAGTAGGCCTCCATCCTGCAGCTCCACAGCTCTTCAAGAATGCGTCACTCTGGATGTTAAATTGCTGTTCTTGTGTTCTCTCAAATGCAAAAGACTGCACTCCTGTATTGATTTTAACATTCTTAAACATAGGATTTCTCAGCATATTTGTGTCAAAAACTATCGTGACATTATGTCCATCATTATCTAACATATTTGCAAGTTTCACAACATTCATCAGTCGACTGCTGAACCCATTTAACATGGGTAATACGATGATCTTACCCTGTTCTGTCGGCCTGACATAAATTAGCAGACACAGATAGAGTAACATCAATGGCAGTTTATCCATTTTCAGTTCTCCTGCTGCTATAAACTAGACTGAATAAAATGCTCTGGAGCCTTTGATTTAGCCTTGAACCTAGTTCCGTCTGCTTACCAAGGGCACCCTTTTTTAAAACACTGAATATTGTTTTGTAAATATATCCATATGAATGAATTAATGAATAAAGCAAGACCATTTAACAAATTGACTCACTTTGAATTTTAAAATAAACTGAAAGGAAATGTTCTTTAATTTTGCTTTGTTTATCATACATTTGAAAACTAAAGAAACCTTGCCCTTGGTTTGCTTTTCCACTTTCCAAAAAATGGATAAATCATTGCTTAACCTTGAAGGTTAACTTGCCTAGATATTTAAATACAGAAAACTGCCTAAAGTGAACCATGCACATAAAAAAGTTAGGGTATTATATTTTCAAAACTGTCAAGTGGAATTGTAGCTATAAAAAAGGTTTTATTTTGACTCTATACAAAGTTTATGTGCAATGCCTCTAAATAAGGAGGATTGGCTCCCAGGGTTCCAACTTGATATTCTCCAAACAATTTGTTCAGTGTTGGTCATAGCTGCATATTTCTACAGCTGCAAGGAGAATGTCTGATATTCTAGAGATAGTGAATATGACAAAAATATTGTTAATGTCTGACATTATAAGTGGCTGTAAATTTATAATAGCAATCAAAAAGATTCAAACTAATATCTTGATCACTTCTTGTGTGTTTTGTATTTTTTGTTAGGTAATAAGACCAAAACTCGGGATCCAAATCCTGAAGTGAAAAAATGGCGGCTATGTGATTTTGAATTTTTTAATCACAACATGACTCCATACATGGCAGAATATTGAGATTGAATGCTGGGAGCCAATCCTCCTTGGCCTCTATGTGGAACATGTTTTTTGGCATCCCACATATTTTATTGTGCTTTAAAAAGGTAATAAAACGAGTTTCCACACAGTAAACATAAGCCAACAGTTGGTTTGTTCACGTGTTCTTCTAATTGCAGGTCAAACAGCTTTCCTCTGTACAAAATTAACGCTGCTTCCAAACTGCATTCACTTTTCATGTAATTGCTAACTTAGAAACTCAAAGTTTGACATTAATTTAAAGCATGATCAATTATTAATTCATCTTCTTTTTGAATTCTGTAATTTTTAATGTTTTGTCTTCTTAAAACAAAATAATGTACACTTTTCTTAAATTGATACCTCATTATTTCTCAATGTGAAAAAAGTTCTGTATAAAAGCAGAAAAATAAGTAGCAAAAGTACTGTACACATGTACAAATGTACGAGAAACTTAAAAAAATTCTGTTTCTAATTTATATTAACTGATGCCTTTGAAAAAGTTACATAATGATCCAATAAATATGATTCAGCAAGTCTTTAATGCCACAAAATAATAAGATAATAAGTCAAGACAGAAATATAGGTAGAAATCATAGATTTACCTGACAATAATAGGACAGCCTTCAAACACCAAACCCATATTATTATCTAAGATAGATTTTATTACCACAGAGCATGTGCAGAAACACCAGATTTGTGATTAATGACCATTTGCCAGTCACAAGGTTTTTTATTTTTGCAATAATTTGATAAAGTACAGGCGAATTGCTCAGTTTATGTCAAGGCCTGTCATACTTAGGCCTTGTGGGCCTACTGTTCGCCAGAGTGTGAATACTTTGGGGCAGACAGCGAGGCACGGCATGGACACATCACACCAAATACAAAAATTGATTAAGGAATTAAAAAATGATTGCCCAAAGTTAACCTGATGGTGAAATTGGGTTCAATAAATTATACCAGGTTTTGGGCTTGCTACTTAATTAACAAAATGTTAGATAAAGTGTTAAGTGTGCCAAAATGATGCACCCCAACATTGGGGATCAAAAGTATTCTAGCTTTTTATTAAAAGATGAAGTTGGTGACACCAATTTGTTTTGCTTGTTTATCTTTATGTCACTTTATATTTAAGTTCTTATTCATATCGTTTTTGACACACATATTGTTCTTCAAGTTCAGTCATAAGTATTGGCTTAAGTATTATGCTTGAATAAATGATTCAGGTGCATGTATACTGATAACTTGGTTGTTTTGCATGGTTACAAAAATGTTACAATTTTTGCATAGACTCTTAAAATTGTATTGTTGCAGAAGAAACTAGAGAATGAACTCCAACAAATAGAAGAAAAACAAGACGCCAAGAAGAGGAAGTTTGAGGAGTCCAGCCAGGAGCACCAGGAGGAACTGAAGAAGGTAAATGACCAATAAGGAGATAAAGGGGATGAACTTGAAAATAAAATAAAATCCATGTAACATGAGTTCCAAATGGGATTTCGGGTTGCCAAACTTTTGAAGTGGAGTGTAACCCCGATATGTTAGATGTGATGGGGGGTTGGTTTACACATATACTCGATGTAAAAATAGTTGAAAATAAAAGCAATTTTTATTCTTGAAGCATATCAATACATGTACTATATTACTACATGTATTTTGAAATAGTTTTTATTGGACCTAAAATGAACAATATTGTAGTCAGCTTGGCATGTGCATGGTCAGTGACTCTCTGTCCTAAAATCACCCCGATGCTTCGTTTAAGGCTCCTGAAACTTTTGAAAATGAGTTTTTATGTGAAACTTTACATATGTCCATATTTCTGTAACATTTGTAGCTATGTGAGAACAAGCAAGTGATAACTGAGGCTGAGTTTGAAGAGATGAAGAGCAAGGCTCGTATAGAACTAGAACAACGACAGGACGAAATCATTAAGGCACAAAAGGAGAAGGCAGAACAAGACAGAATAGAGAGAGAGAAACGAGAAGAGGAGGAACGACTCCAGAAAGAAGAGGATGAGAGGAGGAAAGAAGAGGAAGCCAAAGCAATGGAGACAGCTCGCCTTGAGGCTGAACAGAAAGCTGTATGTCTTTAAATTCCATCATTTAACATACAGATTTTAATTATGAATATTATATATAAATCAATTGACCTATATAAATATAATAGAATTGACTGTATATTTTAACATAAATTATGCTATGATTACCTTTTTTTATTTGATGATTCAATATTCGACAGATTGTAGAAGAAGGGATTTAATGTTTGTACTGTACACATTGTTGAAGAAAAGATTAATATTGTACTGTACACATTGTAGAAGAAATAATTTAATACTGTACTTTACACATTGTAGAAGGAAGAGGCTGAAAAGAAAGCAAAAGAAGACGAAGCAAGAGATTCAGGTTAGCACAAGATATACATATGTATTTTAACTACTTTCTGTATATCTTAAGGTTGTTTCAAACTTGCAGGCTCTCACTGTTCGACTGGTGTCTGTGACTTTAAAACATCCTTATTTGATGTACTTTGATACTCTTGTCTTGATTAATGGAAATGAATGTAGAAGTTGTCTTCCACAGAAAACTTACTCCTCCCATCTTCAGCATTCATTTGACATTAATCTTTTTACTTTATGTTTCTAAAGTAATTAGTCACGGGGTACCATCGAATAATTTTGGCAGCGTACCGGAGAACGACATTTTACTAAGAAAGGGCAATAATTTAGCACAATATATTTTTTAACTAGAGTTCTATTTTGATTTTGACAAAAGTAAGTATTCCATGCAATAACTATTTCATTCATGAGTTTGTAGGAATTCTGTTGGAACCCAGTTCTGATCAAGTATGAAGTTATTGAAATCGGCGCAGACGGACTTTACTCCGAAAGATGGTTTTTCGATTATAACTTTTCACAACATTTAAGTATAGACTTTTGAAAAAAGTACAGAATAGTCCTTATACTTTTGAATAATTCTGTTATTTCTGATTCACACGACTCTGATTTGTTTAATTTAAAAAAAAGTTTTAAAAATATTACTTAGGAACGTAACCGGAGCTGGGAACGTAACCGGAGCAGATCAGTTGAATTATTTAATCAAAAAAATTAAAATATATGATTTAAAGCACATATACTAATTTAAAAACATACGGGATTGTTCGAATGTGTATTTATTACATTTTATTTAAAGAAAAAAAATGTATCCATTGTGAAAAACTAAATTTGGTATTTACCATGCATAAGTGCACTTACCTTAGAAAGGCTATCAAACATAGAACAATCATTGTATGGAGAATGAAGTGATTAAATGTAGTAAGCAAATAATTCCATTTGATTTCACCCATTGTATTTGTTCAGCGAACTATTAGAACCCACTCTTTTATACTAATTTCTAATTAATTTCTAATTTATACTAATTGCCATGCATTGATTTTCCTGTAAGTGAAGGGTAATAAATGCTCATTTTAACATTCATATGTGTTTGTAAATAATATATATGATTTAAATCATATATTTTATTTTTTTAAATTATATAATTCAACTGATCTGCTCCGGTTACGTTCCCAGCTCCGGTTGCGTTCCTAAGTAATATTTTTAAAACTTTTTTTTTAATTAAACAAATCAGAGTCGTGTGAATCAGAAATAACAGAATTATTCAATAGTATAAGGACTATTCTGTACTTTTTTCAAAAGTCTATACTTAAATGTTGTAAAAAGTTATAATCGAAAAACCATCTTTCGGAGTAAAGTCCGACTGCGCCGATTTCAATAACTTCGTACTTGATCAGAACTGGGTTCCAACAGAATTCCTACAAACTCATGAATGAAATAGCCATTGCATGGAATACTTACTTTTGTCAAAATCAAAGTAGAACTCTAGTTAAAAAATATATTGTGCTAAATTATTGCCATTTCTTAGTAAAATGTCGTTCTCCGGTACGTTGCCAAAATTATTCGATGGTACCCCGTGTTAGTGTTGAGGTACTATTTTCTGTCTAGTTTTCAGTGTAGTTGAGTAAATGTTTTTTTTATTAAGTCATTGACATTCTGTTACGCAGTTTAATAAAATTTTCAGAAATAGAAAGCAACTTTTCAAAAGTTTACTTAATTTATGACCGTTTTAAATACAAATTACTTTCGGCTCACATCAATTTTAACATGCCTACTTTGTTCGAATCAGACTTTTTATGACTTGCTTAAAAAGTTTTGCTAGTTACAGGGTGCAGATTTTAAGATCTATGTGTTATTTTTTCCCATAAATGCAGTCACATTTAGTACTTTATTATTTGAAGATTACACATCTCTGAACCTTAAATGTTATTTTATACGGCTTGATTAAATCTTTTCAACTTATGGCAAATACTACCTTCAACTGTTGTTGTTCACTTGGTAGCATGCATAAGGTTTCCATGTTCTAAAGGTTTAGTACTTTATTTATATGAATGTAGAACTATAAAACACAGATTGGCAACGCTTGAATGCATTGCAGTGTTTGTTACCTAATCTGTATAAACCTGCTTATGTATTGTGATTGTGCTTTGTGATTGTGCTTTTATTGATTGTGCTTCACGATTGTGCTTGATTGTGTAGTGAAACCAGCTGAACCTGCTAACAGCGTACCAGCACAACCCGTTGAACCAGAACAACCAGCAAAACCAGCACAACCAGAACAAACTACACCACCAGCAACAAAACCCGAACAAACTGACCCTAAACCCCAAGAAAATTCAGAAGTTAAAGAAAACCCTGAAGTTCAAGTAAAGAAAGATACAACTGAAATTCCAGAAAATAAAGAAAAGCCCAAAGGTGAATTAATTGACAGAGTATCTTATACATACAGTGTATTCACAGGGGTAGCACACTAAGGTTTTTGTGCTGTGCATGTGGCTTTCATTTTGTCTTTTTTTGCCTTTTCTGTTGCCATACACAACATACCTGCCCCAGGGTATTATTTTACAAAGCAACTCATACAATTATTCCAATGTATAGACAATTACTCAAAAATCAGTGGTCCAATTTTATAGTTTTTCTATACTATTTCTCAACCTATATGGCTTTTGACAGTTCCAGTCGTATCTTATCAGTCTTAAAGTAGAACACAACAATAAAATGAGTCCTTATGAATGTATTTTTTGTGTTAACCTATTTTATGGCTAACGCTTGTATATGTTGTGCCTTTGGCTGTAAACTTAATGTAATCTCTTGTTTTTGTCATATTTTCTTAATTAACATAGATAATTTCAGAAAGGATATCCTTAGACTTTTCAACCCATTAAAGTAGTCAGAAGTATATTTCTGTTGTATTTGAAATAATATTGTGAACATGGTCATCATCCATATTGATACTGATACTGGTATTGTCTGAGTATTATAGGTCTTGCGATTTCTACTCTCTTAATGTTTAGTTACCCAGGTAACAGTTATCAAAATTGAACAATTTACATGACTGCCCTCTTTGATACACTTGAACTACTTGAATTTAAATACATCTTCCTGATTTGGAGAATTTGTAATTAGTATTAGTTCATCTATTTGCACTTGTATAGATGTCTCTTATGTCTTCATAAATTCAGTGATCTATTTTTCCATCATTATAAAGTCTTATTTAATTATATGAAATTGTTTGTCATTTCATAGATTTGCAAAATATTTGATAATATAGTGAGATATTATAAGTATGATATTTATTTAATGAGAAATTTGTTACTCCATGAGACCCATTCTGAAATGGTCAATGCAGAGTATTATATTTCATTTTTTAAATTCATTTAAGTAAAGGATTTATCGAGGGTCTTTTTTGTTTCAAAAAGAGAATTGATAACTCTATTGTGTATATGATTGGGCTTTTACACTGCCCTAGAGATTGTTTCATATCATTAACTGGTAGACTCTTGTATTACAGATAGTGAGAAAACAATTGATGGGGAAGATTCAAAAGATGCTACTGAAAAGATGGAGGTTGATGAGAATAAGGAAGATGACTGTGGCGCTGATAGTGACAGCACAATTATAGATGGCGATCTTGGAGAATGAGAAATGACATTTTCTGATAGTATCCCTAAATTACTTAAATTTTCTTTTTAGTAGAATAATTTTGATTTGGTTTTCAGTGCTTGGGGTAATCAAAATTGAACTGTTCACAAGCAAATATTATGAGGTCATTTAGGGACTACAGATAACTAAGGACTAAATACAGACTATTGTTTGTATATTGATCTGAGTGTATATAGGCTTCATTGGCACCCAAGGATGTGTATCATCGAATGATGAAATAATTCACATACATTATAATAGACTATCAAACATGTCATAGGATATAGCTGTCCTTAGCAAGACAAAGGCAATCTCTTCATTTGCAATTTTCTCTTCAAGTTTCAAATGCAGATAGATGTATATTATGATTATTAACACGTGTATTATATTCATAGATACAGGGGATTTATTGGAAGTACACTGTTTAAGTTTGAGCCATTTTAATGAGACATTCTGATTCTGATAGATCTCTCTGGCTATGAAAATGATATTATTATTAATGCCAATATGAATGGAAAATACTCTCTCCAAGGTCCATAAGTGATATTTAGCAATATAACTGTATTGTACTTCATGTTCAGTACAAGGCATTCCCCATACAGTATGACTTAACTTAAACAAAAGAAAATATGGGATGTAGTTTTTGTACAGTAGTTATATTATGGTAATATTATAGCTTATAAATGTGTATGTAGTTGTTATAGTGTAAGCCAGAGACAATATTGTGGCACAAGGTATAACATTTCATAAATAAATGTAAATAAAAAACGAAGTCTTTTTTGTAAAATATTTTATTTTCCTTAAAATAAGAATATTCAATACAACATAGTAGTAATGGCACATTGTCAATCCTCAGCACGAGATGAAATGTTAATGTATCATATATTAGTACAATGTTCACTGGAGATCTTGTTTATTATAATCTTTCCAAGTCTTTGGTCCCCCTTAAGTGAAAATGTTTAATAGGACTACGGTATACATGGTATATGCATATTTTTTAAATCCACCATTCGCCAAATACTTGGATTATTCCATTTTGAACCTTCCCATTTCTTATGCTTCAACAACATTCTACACATAATCTGATAATTGCTTTCTTTCAATGTGAGGATGAGAAGGCTGCTTCATTAAAAATGAAGTGCCAAAATTGTATTTTAGCCCAGTTTATTTGAAAGATTCAAACATATCAATAGTGGGTGGGTGCGTAGGTAATCCAGCAGTTTGGATTTTGTGTAGAATTAAGTCCCATACCTTTGAGAAGAATAAATCTTTTCTTACAGATTATAAATTAGAGTGTTAATAAATGATTATAATTAGTTTTATGATTACTGCATATTTCATACTCTGGATGCTGTTTATGAATGAGAAGGGATACATGAGTTCATTCAATGATTCAAGTCAAATACAGAAACTATTGTGCTTGAGAAAGTCTGTATTTCACGAGGTGCCACCCGAGAGAAACACATCCTTTTGAAGGCACAATGTTTCCTATATTTTACAATTCATTGAATGATGTTTTATATAATTTATACAACAGTCATAGGAAATGATGACTTAGACACCAATAGTCACAGGAAATGATGACAGAGACACCAATAGGCACAAGGACAATCAGATTGCTTGAAATTTCATAATAGATAACATCTCATATAAGTTTCTTGTTGTTATCCCTATATATTTCGTATCAATTTACTCACTAACAGTCTCAATTTAGCATTATATACTACTTTATATACAACAAAAACACATTAATAGACATCATATTCAGTTATCTCAGAAGCCATGACGACATGATCTACAAAAACAGAATGATAATATAAAGATCAGATTCCCATACATGTAGATATGTCGCAATATACTTGATAGACATTATTGAACCCAATATATTTACAAACCAGTACATTATGCTGTTTTACAATATATGTGGTAGCGATAGGTATGACTAAAACAAAACCACCAAAATGCCACCATTAATAATGCCTGCATTGGCGTAACAAGGCATTAACATGCAAAATGTTACCACCAAAATGTTACCACCATTTGTTACAGACACCAACCGCCATCACTTTTTGGTGGTGACATAATAATAGCAGAAACGTGTTACTTCATACCTCAAATGACTTCAAGTCTACATGTATATATTTGGTTTAGTAAATGCATTCAATGAGAGAACATTGCACTTCTTTAGTATGCTGTTATGAGCCATGCTGTAATCCAAGCAATCCTTATCAATCTATTATACCAGATTATCGATTCCTTTAGTACCCTCTTTTTCCTTCTGTTATCACACACATCATCAGATAACAATTTTCCCATATGAGTACATAACACATTCATATTGGATCAGTTTCAACCCAAAATATAACATTTAATAAGGCTTAACAAAAATTTAATTACTTTTTAGCCGCGCAGCAACTAAGAAACGTTCCTATATATTAGGCTAGGCTCTCCATGGGCTACCTGATGAATAGGCCAGCGAGCCTAAACAGAGGTTCTCTTTGACTAGTCCTATACGAAACAACATCAGACATGTTATTTTGGTCAAATTTAGTTTCACTGCACTTAGAATCATTCAGAGTTCCTTTGCTGCACCCACATGGAGACATCGTACTGTATCGACGTGCAGGCATCGTGCTGTACCCACGTGCAGGCATTGTGCTGTACCCACGTGCAGGCATTGTACTGTATTTCCTCTTTGAGGCTGTGCTGAACTGTCTTGCGAAATGTAACCCTGATGTATAGTTGGGGTTACTCCAGTCTGCAGCAGGGATGCTAGAGCTGTACTGTTTCAGCGAAGTCTTGTTGAATATTGGTAGTAACTCACTGGCTTCACTTGAGAGAACCTGTTAACATAATCTTGGATTCAATATATTTGTTCAAATGAGATACATAAACAAAACTGACATTAGATGCGATATATACATTGAGATATATTTTCATGTGTACCTGGTACAATATGATAAATACAAAGCATTAACATGCAAAATGTCACCACCTGCCATTTGTTATAGACACAAACTGCTGAATGCCATTTGTTACAGATGTCAAACACCAACCGCTGACCACCAAATGCCAAACACTGTCCACAAAAAATTTGGAGACTATAACAATACGTCACCACCTCCCCTTTTGGTGGTGACATAAAAATGAATCATAATTTGAGAGAAAATAAATATTTTCCACCAAAAACATTGCAAATTGAAATGTTTTTGAAACAGCTGTTGTCTATCTCTGATTCTCACTTTAAATCAGTGAACATACCTTAAGATATATGACTGCATCTGTGCCATAACCCTCCATTGAGGATAATACTAGATCACCCATAAAGTACTTGGCATAGAGTCGAGACAGTGGAAGACCATACCCATACCCAGCAAGGGGCACAGTGCCCGACTCGGGGTCAGGTTTTGGGGCTGTTGAGTACATATACTGGAACAGGAGATCTGCTGAAGTACGGGGAATACCACCTCCTTGGTCGGCAATCTGAAATAGCACATATGTTTGATGATCAACAGTTTTAAAGGTGTCAACTTGTATACACTCGTACTCAAGTTGCAAAAATTATCAAAGAGAAGTTAATATACACAATCATCAAATGGAACCTTTTTACATATTTTAATGAAAATCACCTTTAAAATGCCAATTTTGCATGTATAATCAGAAATCTCAATTTCCCTTGGGTAAAGATATAACTCTTACATGGTAATTCATACATTATGTTAAAGATGATTGGCCCTCAAATGTCATAGACTTTAATCAAAAATGAAATAAACTATTTCTAAATTGAATTTAACATACCATTATACTTTGAACATACCTTTATAGTGAGATCTTCCTTTCCCTTGCATATTGTGATGTGAATAGGGGGTAGATCATTATCAGGTCCATGATACTCCACAACGGCACGCATCGCATTCTAAAAGTATAATAACCATACATTAGGATAGGCTAAATGGTTGAATCAAAATATCAACTTCTATCAGACAAAAATGTAATTGTGTTACTTTTGGGATAGGGTAAACGCCAATTTTGTTTCGTGAGTTTTTCAAAAAAGTGAGTTTTGTTTTGATGAATATTGATTCAAGCCCTGAGTAAAATGGCCAATCACAGCTTATTTAGTGTCTTATTTTAGACATTTAAATGTATAGTAGGTCAATATACTGACATAAACACTCAGGTCATAAACCTTTTCAAATGACAGATTCATAGTTTTACAACAAACCCCTTTCCCTCCATATTCTCCCAAGTATATGAAGACCAGGAAATAGATAAGGGTGTTCACCAGATACATGTTCTTAATGCAAGACTAGTAGATTAAGTTACCTTGATGAGCTCAAACATTATATGGTAAAGATGGGATGGCACATAGACTATCTCAATTGGCACCGAGTGTTCTGAAAGAAAGACATATATTTAATTAGTACATGTAGTTCAAGTAATGAAACATATACAGCAATACATTTATATTAATCATTTGATCTCCCGAGTTATTTCACTTAAAAATGTACTGTAAAGAGGTTTTTGTTGATTCTACCTAAACTAAATGAAGAATGATTTTAATACATATACACAATATTTATTAGAACTACTAAGGAAAAATCATGCAATATTTAGATTCACAGGTATAAACTACTGCATTACACAATGTCATCTGAGCAATGTTTTACTGAGGAAAGAATTCTTGGGTTGTAAATGTAATTATAGGTGTCACTTGTGGACATCTGCTTACCACTGCCATTGATGCACTGATACTGCACCTCAGGAGAGTTCAGATAGTAGCGGTCACACAGGAAACGTGCATTGTCATATGCATCTGCAATCACGATATATATGATAAGATCATTTATACAATAAGTTAAAGACTGAAGTGTTTTATATAAGATTTTGAAAGATACTCCAAATGCAGGGATGGTCAGGAATTTGGCATGTTTTATTATTCTGGGGGGAGGGGGGGGGTAGAATTTTGACACAGTGTTTTGTTCTGGGAGCAGGGATTTTTGAAATGCATATTCCAAGTAAAAGAAATTTTGATTATATTTGACTAGGTTGCTCCTAGGGTAGGGAATTTGTATGCCTAATATTCATTTTGTCAAAATCCCCACCCTTTCCTGCATGGGGGGTATCACATTATATTGATTCAATAATCATGTACATGGTACTCGGGCAATCGGTGTGGAAAGACACCTTTAAAGGGAATGCGAAGTTTTGTCACTTAAACTTGATAATAAGTTAGAATAAAGATATATCTTTCAATCCAACTTAGTTTTATTGTTCTATCATTATCCTTTTAATTGTTATTGGGCCCCGGGTTTTGCATATGAACTGGACCACGGAGCTGCCATTTCAACCGTAAAGGGGTTCTTTACGACATTGTTATGACGTCATTGATGCCAGACTGATGCCTTGGCATTTCAAAAGTTTTGTGGCGCCATATTTGAATCAAAAAATGAATGCCGAGTTATTGCCATTCCAAAACCAAAGAAATCATTTCAAAGGAACTAAAAGAATACGTATATACCACCCATAATAAAGAACGATTTCAATAGAATATTAACGCCGGCATTTTCGGAATTGCTTTTTACCTATCTAGACATGGAATGTCTGGAATGCAGGTTAGATTTATTCTTTATTTACACTTGAAACAATCTGGGATTCGTGACTTTTTAACTTTTATTAGGTCTAGCGCTAAATGCGAACAGAGAATGCTAATTCTATCGGGCGAATGCAAACTATTTGAATAAAACATAATAAAATTAACCAACCCATCTTGAATTTCCAAGAATGCAATGGTTTCATTTGCTAGTCTCATTACAAAAATACGTGTTCGTACTTTAATATTCATTGCATTTATGTTTATCTTTAACACAGGTATTCAAAGAAATTAATATTTTTAAACTGTATTCAATTACTATCATGGATTCGTATTAGCCTCACGTCACATTTTTACGGGGACCGTACAGTCTATCATTTCTGTGGTAAGTAGGATTTCTACGGTTGCCTAAAAATTTCTGCAGTCAGATAATTTAGCAGTCACAATTGCTAAGATAGCCGTACGGCGTATCTTGATTATGAGGAAAAACTAAGATTCCCGTACGGCTGATAAATGATGACGCACGATCAGCGTAGGGCGGCCCTACGACGTGCGTAGTTTTTCTTAAAGGCATCCACAAGGGTCTCTATGGTTCGGAAAGGTCAATTGTAACCTATGAAATCCAAGCACAGCCGCAAGTCGACCGTGAACCCGACGTACGGCCGTCGTGAGACCTACGGTTTGGCTGCTGCTTGTTGATATCTATGGTGACCACAGGAAAGAAAAAGTTTTAATTCCGACTCTACGCCTTGTAAAAACTGGATATGTCGTGTACGTAGACAGCAAGGTGACCCCGCAGTAATTTACTGATTTCAGGGAAATACGATCGACGTGTGGTCGCATTGAACAAATGTGACTGAAGCTTTTAAAGTTCCACTTATTTTCCGATATAGAAAAACAAAAGGTTGTATGCCCACCCTTGGTATACGCAGTGAGTTTCAATGACGCGCGTTTGATTTTATAAAAAATGCCAAACTTTGTGACAAAGAATTTCATCCTGCTTGCAGCGAGAAGACGGACCGGTTCGGGGCAATAGCATGAACATAATTTAGGAATCTTTATACATGTGTGTTATTGCCCCGAACCAGTCCGTCTTCTCGCTGCAAGCAGGAGGAAATTCTTTGTCACAAAGTTTGGCTTTTTTTTAATAAATCAAACGCGCGTCATTGAAACTCACAAGATGTAAATAGCATGTCATTTACATCATACCTTGATGGGGAAAAATAGATCTTATATGTTAGAAGTACTAAATAAAAGTTATCGTGAAAATGAGACAGTCGTTCTCGAGAGAAAAGAGCATAAATGCGCATTTAGAGAGTTTTGGTCCGTTTAAAAATCTGTAAAAAATTGGGGTACTTAAAAGCATCGGGAGGCATCATATATTTCAAATTGGACACGAGGAAGTCAATATTGAGCAAGTTATGGCCGTTTTAAATTCAAATAAAACCGTTAACCCGTACCGGTCCAGCTTTTTGACCCGTACCGGTCAATTTTCGTTAGCTGCGTATACCAAGGGTGATGCCATTAAATTGAAAATCATTATTTCGAAAATACTGTAGAACTGTACTTACCACGGATGTTATATAATTAAATTCGAGCTCGAAATCAGGAATTGTTTTTAACAAAAAATAAATATATAATAAAATAAATATTAAACTATTAGCGTACTATCAATACGGCAATTGCCTTATCGTCGTTGAAATGAAATATCATACTACAATCGACCCCATCGTCTCCCCGCATCACTGAATGTTATGAGCCTTCTCTTGTCATGATCCAAGGTGAAATACCCAAATACCATTGAATTTTGAAAAGCTTTTTTTGTCATATCGAATGTCGCTACGGTGATATGATGATTGAAATTGGTCGTTTAACAACTGAGAAAAATTAAACATTACGTATTATTTTTTGAAAATATGACAGTGGCATGTCCTTGTAAAGCTATTGTGCATGCCAATCTTAATATTTAGGAGATTGACATTTACATACGTATCATTTAGACGACATCGATTTTTCGTTTTTTTGTTTGCGTTTTTCATCAGAATTTAAATGGCTAAACACTTTATAGGGAGTTACTGTTTCATTGGATTACTACTTTTTGTTTTATTTCTTTCATTCTCCAAATGCACCTATTCATGCACCTATACATATTTGAATAGAATACTACAGATTGAAGAAATCTACCAATTATGATTAGGTAAGAAAGCAATTGCGGCAGTATGCCTAATTGCCGACGTATACCTTAAGGTTGATAATGATGTGCCGTAAATGCTCATCAGCGCATTAATGAACATTAGCATAGATTTTGATATTTTAAATGGTATGTCGTGTATTCTACATAAATGTGGTAAATGCAACTATTTGTTGGATGCTTTCAGCCGATGATATAACTTACTCATTTTCACCACAAATACGCCAACACATTAGCCAAATTAATCTTAGTTAAATAAATCCCCATTGATGCACAGTAATGCATTTATGTATAAATGCCATTTTGTATATTTTAATGCATTTACCTCATTTATTGGTTAAATATACAAGAAAACATTTACAGTATTTGAACAGATTTATCCTTTTTGACCCAGTGTTATCATTATATAAAATAATTCTAGTGGATATTTTTCAAGTGGAATATAATGTGATGACTTCCGAATCGCGCAGCCGATATCTCATAAGTTTAGTGATTTTTCTACCTAGCCTTTACTATATCACACTGATTGGAGAAAATAAATACAAACATTTGAAAAAATACATTGCAACAATTCAATTTCTATGAAGAATATATTGAAACAACCTTTCCAAATATATGCTATGATATGGACATGAACATGCGGCAACAATGTTAAGCGGACAGAATAGTTATAAAATATCAGTGAAATGTGTTCTATTTCTGCGATCCGAGTATGACGCGACATTTCCCAGGCATCAATTTTAAGGCATCAATGACGTCATTGATACATAACAATGGCGGCATCCGCAGCGATCCAGATATGGGTACTTTGAACTTGAATTATATGTTAGTTCAAACACGATATGTCCCATGAGTGAGCTGAAGTGATAGATGATGGTTATAAGTAGCCAGCGAGTAAATTAGAACATGAAACTTCGCATTCCCTTTAAGAATCAAAGTGAATATTTGAGTATTTGGTGAATGTCATTGGTCTAGCCAACTGGCACAATCAGGCACACCCTTCACATTGCATTTGTTAAGTACAGGTGGTACAGGTATACACAAGTGCAGAAGTTAAATGACATTACTCAATATGTCAACATACAAGTATATTATATTATTGTATATTCAATATATGCCAACTTGAAAAACTCAATTGGAACTTCAGACTTTTAACATGTTGAACTTTGAAATGACAAAAAAAGATTAGGTAATTTATCAACTTAAAAACCAATGTTGCAATGGGAGATAAACTAGACCAATGATATCCATGAAATACTGCTGACAAAAACAACTAACCAACAAATCGTTAACCCAAGTGACCCCTTTGTTAGAGGTGGTTTGGTCAATGAGAATATAACACATGTCAGATATAAAATTCATATTGCCATTTGAGGTCAAATAATAATAACAAGATAAAAAATACATCAGCCTAGTTCAATGACAACTAGAAAACAACAACTCCACAGAATAGCAAATCCCATTGAACCAAAAATGTTTTGATACATAGTGGCCATCTTGAAAATTTCAGCTCCCTTGTCCTGGGTTTCAGCATATAAATTCTGAACCAATTCCATCAACTGGTATATGAGTTATCATTATTTGAGTTATCAAAGATTACAATTTTAACGAAAAATGGCAGCCATTTTGAAATTCAGCTGTCGCCTTAAAAAAATCTTCTCAAACATAGCACCTTTGTCCCTAGGCATCAGCATATAGTGTCTGAACCAAATCTGTCCACCAGTATTTGAGTTATCAAAGATTAACTTTTTTTGACAAAAAATGGGGGCCATTTTGAAATTTAGTAGCCATCTTGAAAGTGACTTCTTGAGTGGAGCTCACATGTCTCTAGGCTTCAGCATATAACTTGTTTTTTGAATTATCAAAGATAATGTTCTGTTATGAAGAGAGGTGGCCATTTTGAAATTCAGCTGCCATCTTGAAAATGTCTTCTTAGGCAAAGCTCCTTTGTCTTTAGACATTAGCATATAAAATTTGAACCAAATCTGTCAACTAGTATTTGAGATATCAAAGATTAAATTTCTTATGAAAAATGGAGGCCATTTTGAATTGAGTGGCCATCATGAAAATTCCTTCTTGAGCAGAGGTCCTACATCTATAAGGCATAAGTCTATAAAATTTGAACCAAATCCGTCAACTGGTATTTGAGTTATCGCCGGGACAGACAGACAAACGGACAGACAGAGGGAAAGACGGCTTTCCTATATCCCTATCGAACTTTGTCCGGTGGGATAATTAAAAACTCTTGTAATTTTATGCTTGTACAATGTATACTTACTAAATAACAAAATAATTGAATACATCTCAAGCAAAACTTTGGCAAAAGTATGAAATGAAACGTATTGATTTTAAATCAACTGATTTACAGTGTACTGTACATGCAGTATACAGAACTACAAAACAAAGCAAATAAATCAGGTAAGATATGCAACCAAAACAAACTAAACATAGCTCAGGCCAAAGTCCAGGGTACTCTATAAAACACCTAGGTCATAAACCCTATGAAATCAAACTGGCTGTCATTAGAACCATGATTTTATGAGAAATTCACGATTCTTTATTTTGATTTTTGGAAATTTTGTCAGTCATTTCTATCTCATGTTGTGAAACTTTCGTTTTGTTACAATTTCTGGAAGTAATTTCAATTGAATTATTGTCATGGATTAGTAGCCAATCTCCCTACTTTTTCTTAAAGATTGGCAACTTATATTCTTATTTTCAAATTGAAATACCAATTTTACACCATTCTCCTTGATATGAGAGATAAAAGCCATGTTATCAGCGCAATCAATTATTGTCCAAATCAAATTTGAATCACAGAAGCAGTTCAAAATCTTCTTTTATTTGCTTCGATCAAGTTTAATGAATTTTGATTTATAAAATAAATCTAATAAAATCTCAATAGAGTCTAAAAATAGATAAAGCTCCTCGGGGTCTTTATCGTACACATTATCTCTTTTTGCATTAGTGTTATTTTTGTTAGACGCATGCAATAATGCTATGTTAGTCATACCTTTAGCCACAGTTAGCACATCGCAAGAGGGGTCTACGCAACCTATCTCTCTAGGATGGCTACGTAAGCGGTCTGTGAAGAGTAGAGCTGTAAGAAGAGAGTACCAGTGCTAGCTACAATAATGTTAGTCAACACAAACACACACACAACATGAACACATCTGAACTTGTACCAATCCATTATAACACCTGATTACTTCAAATGAGGAACTCCTCTTTGGCTTTCTTTAAAAGCATTGATGGTCCGTAGATAACATGTACACTGAATCTGCACCAAGTGGGATAAAGTGAATGATTCCTTTAGTAATTATCAAAGGAGCTCTTCTCTTGGAAATCTGTGAGATTTATCAAATAAGTCCCCTGATACATCAGCTATTGAATTATTGTGAATCAATGTCAACAACACATACTGGCAACACTTTAATAATACAAGTACATTGCCCCTATTTTGATTTGTTTATTGAATTATCACTGCCATGAGTGAGGCATGAGTCAGTTGTTAACAATATGCAGTATGTATGCCCCCATTTCATATTTCCAGGCACGGATAAGACTGAATTCAATTTGTGTATAAAATAACTTGAATTATTTATTTAATACATTATAGATTATGCTGGCTTGGAGAATTATGGAACTCTAAACAAGTTTGTTGCATTAATAGAGAGAGTTTAAACACACCAGGAAAATTACCCACTTACAAGAACTACAGTTTCACCACTAGGTGGCTTACTAAATTTGAATAGTTCAATAGATTCAATAAAAACATTTCATCTACGGTAACCTTTTTGGATTCAATATCACAACTTAATATAGAGTGTCACATGGGGTACATACAACTTCAGATGTGTTCCACACAACAGTGAAGTATACTCATCAAACCATAATACAGGGTGTCCTATAAGTAAGAACTATCATGCTGTTCCATCTTTTTTGAACACCCTATAGTACAAAATCTCAACAGCTGACTTTAAAGTTCCAGGCTAGCCATAAATCACACCAAAATGGTCTTAAAACCATGTTTTGAAAATGCCAAATAGTTAATGTTACTAAATATTGATGTGTATACTTTAGCTGCACTTAAGCTGTACTTTACAGTCAAGAACACAGGCCAAGATTATACATATACTGTTCCAAAAATATCATTCCTCTCATCAGTAGCATGTTCTTCTATGGCTGTGTGCTTGACTGTATCAGGCATGCATGTACAATATTTATGGTTACCCTCCTACCTTTAGCAACATCATGTAAATCACAATGAGGGTCGATACAACCTACATGACGAGGGTGATTGTCTAATTTCTCGCTAAATAACAAAGCTGAAAACATTTGAAACATACAAGTATATGAACAATATTAAAACCAGTATATAATATATATAATATACTATAATATTAACACTATTGTATATGAACAATATGAAAACTAGTTCAATTAAACTATACTTCATAACTTTCTTTACAATATGCAAAAAGCTACTGACCCCAAGAGGGCAGATGATACGGTATAACAGTATATGAAGTTTAATAACAATTTACGTATGAAACATCTATATTATATTTATCATATCATCTACAGCATCATCTACTTAAGCCAAATATTAAATATTGGTCAATTGTTGTTATTGAACTATTGCTTTGTTGTGGTATTGCATCATATTGCATTTTTGTAACCATAGCCTCAAGAATGTATTGAGACCCCAATCAGCCCCCCCTCCACGATAACAATGTATTCCCTGGAGCTTTTTTAAGAATCATTACACTATAAATGTACTTTAGGAGGTCTTTAGGTGAAAATGTTATCTTGGGGTTGAATACTGGGTTGAAATTACAGGTTGCATGTAATTTCTAAAAATAAATGAACAAATCAAGAGGTTTTGTTCCATTTTTGAGGGGTGGGGGGGGGGGCTTTCAGGACAGGATTTATGTATCAATATAAACAATATATTATAATCCCCCTAAATGCAGATTAATATAAACCTAAGGACAAGTATATATTTACAATTAATTGGTTCACAGCTATTTGGATAATGAAAGTTTGCATCTTTGTTAAGTTTTTGCATGTAATAATGAATGGAAAAGCACAGAGGGCAAACTTTGAAGGTCAAATAATTCCTGTAAACGTGATATTAGATTCATCAACAGAAACTGCACCTTGACCTTACAAATGACAGCTGAGGTCACAAAATCAATACAAACCTATGAACAAATCAATCTGATAAGGATGATGTCCAATAGTCGACAGCTGTTGAAGAATAAAGTCAATTTGTAAATAATTATATCATTCATGAAAATGTTAATTTTCAAGAGTAAGGGAAATATACTTCAAATTACTTTGTATGGGCTAAAGAGGGAATTAAACCATGAAATAGATTTTTGTTTTTCTATAACATTAACACCAAATGTTGCACTACAGCTGGGCAGCCAAACCCAGAAATCAATTGTCGCGGTGATTCGGCATTAACCTGAAAACTACGCGAAAATCGTGCTTTTCTACAGAATATAGTCCCGCCTCCAAAAATCATATAAAATGACACCTGTGCATAAATTGACTTTTAATATCGATAAACGTAATGGTTTTGGCCGATATTTCGGGAAACGTTTGGAGATATCGGGATGTAACTATATTTCACGAATAATAAGCAAAATAAGGTATGGTGGGTGAGAAAGAAGACCTCAAAGAGAAAAGTTTTGAAACTGGGTTTCGATAATTTTGAAAATTGGGGTCGTATACATGTTTTGGGCATTTTTTTCTGAGATTAGTTATTTATGTGATTTTAGTACAAAACGAACCCCCCTTAACTCGCGGACGTGGTTTGAACGTTTTATTGCCCATTATTATATATTTCTCGAGTTATCAGCCACTTAGTCAGCAGTAATTGATTTTCAGAAAAAAATGTTAATTCTCAGGGATCGATTTTGACATGGTCCCCTGAAGTTGTAAACACTCAATCTCGGATGAAACCCGTAGTTAGCCGATACAAAATAACCAGTAGATGATAAAATTGACGTGTAGTTCTCAATTCCCGCATTAAGTTTTTGTTGGGAATTGATTTCTTCACGTCGAAAAAAATATGTGATTAGAAAATCAGCTAAATGACAAAAACAATTCTGAGGAAACATTAGTTCAGAATGTTTTGGGCAAATTTTTTTCTTACAGATCTGTGGTTAAAAATCTATTGATAAATAAAAAGTAGTCTAAAATACATATGGTGTCTAAATATAAAAATGCCTGGATAAGTACTTTTGTCAGGAGACTTGAATCAATTGCGGTCCAGTCATATTGTCGTGTCAAAATTACCCAAAATGGTGAAGCCCTGGCTTTTGAAGAGGGTCGTCTTCGGACTCGAAGTTTTCAGTATTTTTAGCCTTTTAGCAACTAATTCTTGAATTCAACGTATGCGTATGATCTAAATACGCATAAGTCAGCCGTATTGTGCATCAATTCGAAGTTCTTATGGCAATTTGAAGCCATCATCTGGAGCGGTTTCTACTCTTGAATCCGCCAAATTGCTGAAATGCCAAAGGACCTTCTCAGGTCACGTGACCTGTTTTTTAAATGTTGCATTTCAGCCACAAAACAACAACATCGGTCATTCATAAATTGTTCGTGGATGGCTTTGAGCACCAACTTGGCATTACTGTACTTAAAATCAAGAGAGAATGTCAAACAAAACAAAAATCGCTAACTGTTTTATCATTTTTTAGTTGATTCCAAGGGGTCTTTCCCTTTCGTTCGTAATTTTAAAGTATCGATGGCGCTGAAAACAAATTGAACTGGCTCAGCCTATTTGAACGGATTTTAGTAGATTCATGGATATTTAGATCAACCGATAGTGTTTACAGGATTCAGGGATTCCAGGTGATTACGATGGAGTTCACGGCTTTTAAGTAAGTTCAGTATTTCTGTTAGATAACGTAGTTTGAAAACACATAATTTGAATAATGATGGTGTAATTTTTGATTTTTGAAATTTTTTAAAGTTAGAGGCAATCTCATCAAATTTCAGTATCTTTTATTGCACATAGGATTCTAGAAATTTACTCACACATTGATGTGATAATAAATATTGTATATTTGATGTAAATAGCATCAGGGTCTTGGAGTTAAGCTCGATGTCAGCGCCTCCAAATGACCCATGTTGTTTCAAAATTAGGGACCATATTTTGGGTCATATTGCGCATGCGCCAAATATATAGCTATTTCTTTTGTGCATTTCCAGAAAGCAGGTTCCAGAACTCCTTGATTCTGCCTCTGCTTCGATGTGCCTACCAGATTTAATTTGTGGATTTCACAGGGGATTTCAATGTCATCTTCCCTCTCTGAATCTGAACAACAATGCCTCAGTCATATTTGTGACTTCCCAAGACTAGATTTGCTTGTTATGTGAGTATAGGTGTAACCTTACATGTGTTGTGCAAATTCAAGAAATTAATGCTGTACAGTAACAGTGTATATTGTTGGTTTGCGACAAAGTCAAGGTAGTTCCGTAAAATGTTTACAATGTTTCTTGACCTGAGTGGCGAGCGAACATTTACAGGGCTGCAGGGGCCTGGGAACCAACAAGGGGGGGGGGGCAAGTTTCTGGTCTTAGAAAAAACTTCAGCGAAAAAAATGTTTGGACCACTACAACCAAGTTTTGACATTTGAGGCCCATTATTTTGAAACTTTGGCCTAAAATTAAAAAATAAGGCCTTGGAAGCCCCAATTATGACCAAAAAAGCCCACTTTCTGGGGCCTTAAGACTTTTTTGGACCAAAATTTAATTTGGCCCATTTTTTTCTGAGCCCACCCAAATGACGAGGCCCCGGCCCTTAGCCCCCCCCCAGATCCGCCAGTGATTAATTAATTATATTATGGTCACATTAAGGTCTCATGGTAGTTATCAGAAATTTACACCAAACAGGAAATGAAATAATCATGTTATTTTAAAGTTTTTTGAATGAAGTAAGATAACTGAGTTCTGCTTTGATCTTCAGTCAGTTGTAGTACTCCCATATACTGATATATCATTTACATGGCCAGGATCACAATGGTTATTGTCAAAATGACCTTTACCATCAAAATAGCTTTTTCAGCCCTAATAAAAAATATATATAACTTTTTCAGGAATTGCCTTGCAAAAGTAGAATAGAGGACCAACAACAATGCCTTGACTCAACCTAGAACAGAAATTATGTTCAAATCCTCTGATGGAGAACACTAGGTAAACTGTTTGTTTTCATGTAACTAACTGAAGTTGGTATACCGTATATATCATCTAAAATTTTAAACAGACTGTTTTAAAGGCCCCATATAAAGTTTAAAACACTTAGCCTTATTTTGTAGTCTAACCAAAAGTTGTTAAAATGAGATATACAAAACTTTGGTTTTGATTTTAAAAAATGTATTGATAAATAAGCAAGAAATGAACTATCTATGCATGTGTGTCATGAAAATGTTTCAGAGAAAAATGCATTTTAAAATTATATTCCTCGTAGAAGCAATATTTAAAACATAATATTTGCTTCTTTTCTTAAAACAGTAAGCTAATCAACATTGGATTATTTTGAAAGTTTAAGGAGACTATACTATTGGGTATATTGAAATTTACCACATATTCAACCACTAGATATATACTTACCTAAGTCCCCAATCCCCAGCTTTCAGTGTTAATTTTGCAATTGTACAGACAGATCTAATTAATTTCGCAGTAATTAATTTAATCTGAAGTTAGAATATACCAGAAAATCCACCTGTTACCTGATTGGTTGTTGAATTTGTTGATCATGAACCTGATTGGCTGCCTGGTTTAAGGCACATGTGGGCGTTTGCGTGACTCAACGGGGATTCCCATTTCCCCTCGCTAGCCGAGGAATCGATTATGCTTGATTTTGAAAATTTTGAAAAAATCTAAAGTGATCCCAATAAACTTGAATTTTCATCAGTTTTAGTCATGGGCTTTCAACAGAAGGGAAGTATTGCCTTGGGTTTTAAAAATTGGAGAAAATGCTTCTTGTACACATTCCAAGAAAAATGTTATTTTGTACTTTTCATGAATGATTTAACTCAAAAATAAAAACATGATTATCTCATCTGCATACATGTTGATAATTTAATATAAAATGGAATTCATCACAATTATGGCAATAATAAATGTGAACATTCTCCCACAAATTATATTTTTACTGGAATGTCTTCTTGAATTATTACCCACAATGCAACATTTGAAGAGATATTATTTACTAGTAATATGTAGATTTCAAGTATGATATCACATTTACTGAATTTTGAAAACTTTGAATTGTGTAAATCAAGATTATTTCTAATAACTAGTCCAT